ACCTCAAGGTTCTACAAATAATGATTGAAAATTTAAATAAACTAGGTTATTTAATAAATTTTGCTTGAAAAATACGTAATGATATTCAATACCTCTTCTATAGATTACGCCTCTGCAAACAATAATTGAAAATTCAGTATAATTAAGTAAAGCTAGTTTAATAAGTTTATATATTATTTAATACCTCTAATACATATCAGGAGTATCATCTGCAAATAATGATTGAAATTTTAATTATTTAATAAGCTTTATTTGAAATATAAATGTTCAATACCATATAAGGTTCTATATACGGGTTTGCAAAAAGTAATTGAAAAATTTAGTAAAATTAAATAAAATTAGCCTAATAAATTTAAGTATTATTTAATACCTCTCAACAGGTTCTCAAATAATAATTGAAAAATTCAATTAAATTGTTTATTTAATAAACTTTATTTGAAATATTAATATTCAATAGCAAATAATACTTGAAAAATTCAATTAAAATAGTTTATATAATAAGCTTTATTTGAAATATTAATATTCAATACCTCTCTTATACCAAGCTCTATATACGGTTTTGCAAGAAGTAATTGAAAAATTCAGTAAAATTAAATAAAATTAGCTTTATAAATTTAAGCAACATTTAATACCTCTCAACAGGCTCTGCAAATAATAATTGAAAAATTCAATTAAAATAGTTTATTTAATATTTAATAAACTTTATTTAAAATCTAAATATTCAATACCTCTTTTAAAGTCGTCAGAAGCAGCAATCACTAGTTGAAAAACTAGCATTAAAGCAAATAAGATTTTATAGAGTTTCATTTTTGAATTTTTTTCTTTTTGTTTTTTTAAAAAAAGCTTTTGTTAAAATTTTCAGAAAAAAATTCAGCGCTTTTATAAAATAACATGTTCAAAGCCATTTGCTTCGTATTACTCAAACAAAAACAAATGTCATGCTTAGTAAAGCTATCTGCTTCGCATTACTCAGACACAACCACATTTATGCTTAATATAACCACTTCATCAAAGCTTTTAATGTTATAAATATTATGATGGCTAAAGCTATAAATTTGATCTACAGTATCGGACAGCAAGTCTCAACTATTTTGAAATGTTAAATTTAATATATTACACAAAGTACAAGCAATATGACAGAATAATTGGATATGATATAAAATTAATTTTTTATTAATTATAGTAAAAAAAAGATCTAATTAATAGTGGCCAAAATTTTATTTATACTGTATATAAACTTTAAATTAATAATTTACAAATTAATTTAGCCAAATCGTTACTATATATATTATTATTAAGGAAATAACTACAGTTAACTGGGGAATTCACTCACTTATTTTTTTAGGGTCAGGATGCAATTTTAGAAAACAATAGAAGTCAGGTATAAAAACAACGCCAGGATTTTATTGTCACATGATTTCCAACGTATATCAGCCAATCAAAGATCAGGATCAAGTGTAACGAAAGAAATTCAAAACGAACGTTCGCTTTGCAAAAATCGCATTTATCTCAAACAGAAAAATTTCCTTGTGTAATTTTGCTATGCTATAGTCCTTCCTAACCTTAACCTAAACTCTAACTCAAATATAAAAGAAGTTTTTAACTTAACAACATTTGTTTTCCCGAGAATCACGTGACAGTAAAATCGATCCTGTGCCTGTCAAAATCCAGAAATAAATGGGCGGTCAAAAGTAGAAACCACCCAATTTGAAAATTTAAAAAAATTTCAACTAAACTTTTATAGCTCATATCTCGACAACCACTTGATCAAATTTGATGAAATTTTTTTATTTGAATTCTAAAAACCTGTAAAATTTGATTAAAAACAAAATTATTAAATTTGATCAAATGGTTGTCGAGATATGGGCTATAAAAGTTTAGTTAAAATTTTTTTTAAATTTTCAAATTGGGTGGTTTCTACTTTTAACCGCCCAAATGTCCAATTTTAGTTAAGGTTGTGTTTTTTGGTCCTGAACAATTTTATTTATACCCTGAGGCGTGTTAACTTGTACGTTTTGAGATATACTGTAGCACCCCGATGAATTTTTCCCTAGTGGAAATTAGCAATTCTCTATTAATAAAAAATATTTTGGCTAGAATACTTTTCGAGAATTTTTTCGAGCCAAAGTGAAGGGGTTGCTTATATTCGGATCCAATTTTATTAGTATAACATAACAACCTTAATCATTTTCGGTTCAGAAATCTGAAAGGTTACTTTTATTTTGTAGTTGCTTCTAGTTGGTAACATACGATAGTTAGAAGTTAAGGTTAAAGAATTATCAATAAGAATTTTATAGATTTAAATAGAAGCCCAAATTTTCAACCTCGGCCAATTTTAGCTTTATTCCTCACAAATATTATCTTACAATTGTAATAATTACAATAATCATATTTGGTTTTTGAACACATACTATCACGGAATGTAACATCATTTGAGCCAAGATGTGTTGTCAGTTTGAAAACCCATGTAATCTGACCAAGTAAAATTTGACATTAGAACAATATCACCAATGATTGTCAAATTTTAATCCTATAGTATATTTATTTGTATATTAGATCTTGTAGTTAGTTAACTGATGAACAATAAAATTTTTTTTTTACAATATTTGAGCAAATATTCAAATCTTTTCAAATTCTATAGGCTAGAATTCCGCATAGGCTGGGATGGATTGAAAATATTCCGAAGTCAGATCCAGCCCAGCAAAATAAGTACCAAATATTTAGATCCAAATCCAACCATGTTTGATTGGATAGATCCATGACCACACAATACAATCTATAGTCAGCCCATAGATCCAAATAGTGCAAACTGTAACGGTAACAAGCTTATTTATTAATTGTTGGGGATGATGCTGAGATTTTGACTTATATTATTATGAAAATTTAATTTTTAGGGGGGTGGTTCAGCCTTTTTTTTATAGTTAGGTTAGAATTTAGGGTTAATTTTTATAATAAAATAGTATAGGTGGATTTTAGTATGGTTTATATTTTCCAAATTCAGCATCATCCCGACTAATTAAGTCATGACAAAGATATCTATGATGATATTCTACAATTTTGGCCAATCAGCTTAAAATATGGACTATCCATGGGCTTTTGGATCCAAACCCGAATATTTTGAGCCCAAATAAAAATCCAAGTTAGTATCCAATCCCGGTCCATGCTGTATCAGTCCATGGATGTTTTATGAATAGTCCAGCCCATGCGGAACCCTACTACAGACTAAGTAGAATTCGAAAATGCTCTTAAGCATTGAGATTCACCAGGTCATTATTAAGAAATTCTCGAAATTTGAGAAAACACCCAATTTGAAACTTTAAAATTGAAACTGATATAATTTCTAGGTAAGTATTTTAGATTCCCAGGTTTCTGTATAGTAAGTGTGATGTATAAAATTTGTTGATTGCAGTAATTTGAAAAACACCATAAATACGTAGGCTTAGCTAGGTGCAAGAGCATATACTACTTTGATGTCAATCATGATGAAAATAATTATATAACATCATATTAAGAATCTTAAACCTTTTTTAAATTTCTCAAATAACTAAAATTCGCAATCTAAATCACTATTGATAATGGTTATTTACTACTTTACTACTTATTTGCTATTGATAATATATAACCGTTATCGATACAATTTTTTTTTTTTACGTTATATTGAAAAATCTGAATTTAAAATTTATAGGGTGATTATCGGATTTTAGATATATCTTATAAGTGCAGCATTTAAATTATATAATTTTCGTATATTTTGTTATTTAAATCTAATATAAAAATTTACAAAACAGGTGAATTTTTCTATTAAAATGATTTGTTATAGAATATGGTTAAAATACTTATATATAGATAGTAGATATAGAAGCGGCAAAATTAATTATATAAGGCTTGTATTCTTTATTACAGTATAGGCATCTCACAATAAAATATACTTGCTCTTATACTCTGCCAGTTCCACACTTTATTTCTGTATTTCGAATGTTTATTCCTATCGTTACGCGGACATTTACGAGATTGGCCTATGAAAATGGATTTTTAAGTAATCGATTTTCTGTAATGTGACAATACAAAAGATTAAGCCTACACCTTTAAAAAAGAAACTGCCTACATTAAATTGATCGTAAATATTACCACCTTCGGCAGATTTTAGGTACCATTCAAAAGCCTTTTTATCATCTTTAGAAACACCTACACCAGTTCGATAACATAAGCCAGTATTTTATTGCCCACGATGACAATCATTTTTAGCAGATTTTAAGTACCATTCGAATGCTTTTTTATCATCTTTGGTAATTCCTAGGCCAAAAAAATAACAAACTCCTACAAATAGTTGTCTATAAGGATTTCCACTTTCTGCAGATTTCAAAAACTGATCAAATGCATTTGTTTGTTCATTGGAATTACGACTTGTGGCAGAACTTATAATGTTTGAATGCTTTTCTTTGCTCTTCAAAGTTCCAGAATTAATGGATTTTAAACACTGTTCAAATTCTTTACCAATTCCAATAAATTCATCGATATTCGTCTCGAAATTAACTAACGTTAATGAACGGGTCAAATATGGAAGAGAGAATCATGTAACAAAATTATTCGTTACAATAGGTCCCATGTGCTATATTCATATTGGTTATGTCAAAATGAAACTAGTTCTAAAACGCACAAATCATATTTTATTTACTAAACCCGATTGGTATATAGATGATTGATAATAGAAAAGTTCTGGAAAAACGTCGGAAATGAAATTAATAGTATCACTGTAACTTCTGTTGAGTAAAAGTTCCCTTGGTAATATGGACTATTTCGTCTTTAACTAAAAAAATATAAAAAGGTATTATTAATATAAAAAATAGTAAAATTAAAGACAGAAATGGAAATATAATAATAATTTTTACTCGTTTAGGTGCTCTCAAAGTTGTTTCATAATCAGATCCTGAGGCATCGTCATCAGAACTATCACTATCGTAATTACTAGAGGAGGATGATGATGATGATGATGATGTCTCTCCTGGGCTAGGACATTCAGGATGGATTCTCGCCAAATGTTGTATATATGAATAACATTGAAATATTGATGGATTTTTTGACGCAATTTTTATAGTCGGAGAAACATAAAGAGTATCTGACTCATTTTTAGGCCTTTTTAAAAACCAATGTTGGTTATATGTTGTTAAGATTCTGTATTGTAATCGATTAGTAACCAAATATCCAAAAATCTGGCGCAAAATTTCCACAACAGAAATATTACTGCCTGAGTTTGGATATCTTGAATTGTTCTTTCGTTTTTCTAAAACTTCGTTAAATTTGGTGTGCAGTTGTTCTTCATTATCTAAATATAAAACCCATAGGGTTTTTACTTCAACTATAAGCAACAATTTGTTAGCCTGTTTATAAATAAAATCTGGTTCGCCTATAATATTATCTTCTTTGGCGATTCTTTTAAAAACTTCTACCGGATTTCGAGAAGTTGTAAGAATATGGAGGTTATCAAGAATATTGTTTTTTAATGCTCCTCTTACATCTTCTTCGTTTGATATATTGTAAATCTGATTATAATCTTTAAAACGTGGACTTGCATATTGCTTGGCGTTGGAGTCAAATTGATGAGATTTTACACTATTGAGAAATGAACTCCATAGTTTAACAGATGATGGTGTTCGTGAGATTGGTGATATGGTGGTAGTGGTGCCTTTATCTAAATTTGGATAATAAATTGGTGGTGGTATTTTTGATAAAAATTCCAACTCGGTTTTACTGCCTCTTTTTTGCTTTTTCCTTTTATTGTTTTCGGTCACTAATAAATTAAATAAAAGATATATTAATAATAGTGTTTTTAAATGATTAGAAAAACCTGGGTAAGTCAAATCTTAAAACAAAGCTTAAAAGTATATCACACTGTAGTGATGGGTGATGAAATTGACAAAATTTGACAATTAAATATTTCGTCAATTTTGTCATTATGAAACAGATACTTCATATACGTTCATGCATGTGTCTACGTAAATTTTTGTGAAAATAAAGTTCCATAATAAAATTAAAAGTATCAAAAATTCTTTATCATTAACGTTAAAATTTTAATTAATAAAACCCGGGTTTTGTTCTGATCAGTTATGGACTGATCTGATTAACTACCCAGACGAAAACTGTGCATATTTTTAAAAACATATGCATTAAATATGATTTTTTTAGAGATAGAATTCATATGTGCGCATGAATCCTCAATCATGTGCATTTTATCTAGTGTTCCGCAAAATCTAGATTCGGCGGGTTTTTTTAAAGATCCGGACCCGACCTGAAAAAATCAGTCGAGTACGGGAAAGACCCGAGAAGTATATACACAGACTCCGCAAATAATTTTATTATTTAGTTGTGAGTCAAATTTCAGACACAGACAGGATCAACACAAAAGACCCCAGATGCAGCCAATCAATGTGCGTAATTTGATTTCAACGAGAGATACAGAATATACCAGGACCCGACTCGGACCAGACCCGAAAGACGGTTCCAGGCGGGTCCTCGAATCTTCGGTTCTGTTTGCGGAACACTAATTTTATCCCATCTGAATTTAATATAGGAAAATTGAAGTATATATAATTTAGGCCAAAAAGTGTAATGCCAGGCGGAATTAAGAAACAGGAATGCAAAAGTTCTGAAAATTTTTGAAAAGAAAATGAATGAATATGAAAGGACAAGAAAGGTCAGGGCAAAAATTCGATCCATATATGATATTTTCTGAAGGTATCATGCACATTTTTTCCATCTCCATAATTTTTATATTTTCAAAATCATAAGTATAAATGCGTATGATAATAATTTTTGGAAAATCACATATATGATATAACTTATTTTAACAAACCAAATAAAATAATACTTACTAGTCGATTTATCTAAGTTTTCCTTTTCATATTCGTTAAGAACACCAATCCAATAATCTTTCATGCCGTTTGCATTATGTTTATTGTTTATCTATTACAAAATATATATTAATGTGATATATCTTTATATAAAAAAAAAGGGTACATAACTAATT